AAACCATTTCAGGTGACTACCTCTTGAAGCTCATGGAGAGAATGCCAAGAGTGTGCAAAGCAGTAATCAGAGCAAAGGGTGGCTATTTTGAAGAAACTAGAATATAAAACATGTTTTCAGTTATTTCACCTTTTTTTGTTAAGTACATAACTCCACATGTGTTCATTCATAGTTTTGATGCCTTCAGTGAGAATCTACAATGTAAATAGTCATGAAAATAAAGAAAACGCATTGAATGAGAAGGTGTGTCCAAACTTTTGGCCTGTACTGTATATAGCTTATATTTTGTTTTGTTCTTTTTCTTCTTTTTGTCTAAGTTTTTTCTTTTTTTTCTTTTTGTGAGTTGTTTTTTCTTCTTGTTTGTTAGTTGTCCTTGTAATAAAAGTAAAACAAAAATAAAAAATGAGTCTTTGCATGGTTGTTTTGTGTCTCTTTGCTTTGTGTCTTTTGCAGGTGTGTGTCTTTGTGTGTCTGTTTTATCTTTTTGTAGTCATTTTGTGTCTCTCTGTAGTAAATTGTGACTTTTTTGTTGTTTTGTATCTCTTTATAGTTATTTTGTGTATTCTTTGGTCATAATGTGTTTCTTTGTAGTAATTATGTCTCTTTGTCGTCGTGTGTCTTTTTGCAGTTATATGTCTTTTTTTTAGGTTGTTTTGTGTCTAGTTATTTTGTGTCCTTCTGGTGGTTTTGAGACTGTTTGCAGACGTGGTGTGTCTTTGTGTGGTTTATTTGTGTCTTTTGTTGTCATTTTGTGTATTTTTGCAGTCGTGTTTTTGTGTGGTTGTTTATGTCTCTTTGTTGTCAATTTGTTTCTTTTAATAGTCCTCTTGTCTCTTTGTAGTTATTTACTGTGGGTTTTTTGTGGTCATTCTGTTTCACGTGGTAGGTGTTTTGTGTCTTTTTGCAGTCGTGTGTCTATTTTGTCTTTTTGTAACTGTTTTGTGTGTCTTTGTCATTTTATGTCTTTTTTGGTCATTTGTGTCTCTTAATAGTCATTTACTGTGGGGTTTTTTTGTGATTATGTGTCTCTTTGTAGGTGTTCTATGTCTCTCTGTAGTTGTTTCATGTCTTTTGTTGTCATTTTGTGTCTTTTTGTAGTCCTTTTTGTCTATGTAGTTGTTTTGTGTCTCTTTGTAGTTGTTTGTGTCCTTTTTGTTGTTTTGTGTCTCTTTAGAGTTATTTTGTGTCTTTTTTGGTCCTTTGTGTCTCACTGTAATCATTTTTTTTGGTCATTTTATGTCCTTTTTGGTTAATTTGTGACTGTCTACAGATGTGATGTGTCTTTTTGTGGTTTATTTTTGTCTTTCTGTAGTCATTTTGTGTGTTTTTACAGTTGTGCTTTTGTGTGGTTGTTCATTCTTACACTTTGTGCCCCCTGATGTGTGCCCCGTAGTTCTGTGTGTGTGTGTGTGTGTGTGTGTGTGTGTGTGTGTGTGTGTGTCACCTGGCTATTGTTACGGGCCTCAAACTCATCCTTTCCCGCAGCTCTCTGCTGTTCCAGCTTCTTATGGCTCTCTTTCAGCAGGAAACACACCAGCCACTTATAGGCAGCCAGTGGCACTGACATGAAGAAAAAAGAGTATTCTCACTGGGTTAAACTGAGGAATCACTCTATAATCAGTGACATTCTTATATAAGTGACATTTAAGTAACTTCTTAAATGTTTATATAATATAATAATAATGACTTTGGGTAATAATCTCTTTTGAACTCTGGTTTAGGGCTGCACAATTAATTGAATGTAAATTTTGATCATGATTTTGGCTTCTCACAATTAAATGCAATACTGATGTTTAAAATGTGTATTCCACGTAAGTATTTTGACTTATAGAGTGTAGAGATTTGTGTCCGTGCCGCAAAGTTATACATCTAACTTGAGGAAAACACTACAAACTGCAGAGCAAGAAATGCATGAAGGCCAAGAAGAAGACATTACTTTGATGAATCACTGTCCTATCCCAGAGTCAGTGACGCTGTGCAGCACATCACCGAATCCAGCCAGCTCCCAATGCCAGACTGTCATACCAGATGCAGTCGAATTCCATTTGGCCAAAGACAATTACAAGTACTTTTATGTCAGAGCCTTATTTTAATTCTTTTTTTGATGCAAAGATGTGTTAAACAGCAGGAATGTAGGCAGGTTTTGGTACAATTTTAATTATATTTTAGGAGACAAACTGTGAGTAAAAAACAGTTTCACTCTGATGCAAAGATCTGCACATTAGCAGGAATGCAGCACAATGTTTTTTATTATTTATTTAAATGTGAACGTGCAATAACAACATTTTGTCCCTAAAATCAATTAATAATTGTAAAACCTATCATGATCTCAATATTGATCAAAATGATCGTGATTATCACATTGGCCATAATCGTGCAGTCCTAATTCTGACAGTACCTGCTGAGTCCATACACGCCTCCACTGTTGTTGCTGCAAACTTGCTTTTAAGGATCTTGTGGGAATCATCCAGGAAATCTACAGTGTGAAGTGGAGACTCAATCCGCACACCATCTGAAACCAGACAGAGTAACAGCTGAAACATTAACTTCCCTCATGGTGCACAGAAGGAGGGATAACAGTGTATTAGGGCCATTGTGGATAAAGAAAAACAACAAAACAACAGAGCCTGGGAAGTGATGTAATATTCAGAGAAAAAATCAGAATTTCCTAGATTACCTTCGTAATTTTTTAAGAAAAAATGCTTGGATATATACTTTGAATAACGTGGAAAATTTATGACAAACTAGAACCTTTTTAATATAAAATGTCATCACTTCATTATTCATTATTTGCTTTTTTTGTCATAATTAGCATATAAAGTCTTGAAATATGGCCAAAAACATATTTTGTGAGGTCACACTGACCTTGACCTTTGACAACCAAAAACTAATTGGTTCATTGTTGAATCCAAGTGGACATTTGTGCCAAATTTGAAGAAATTCCCTAAGGTGTTCTTAAGATATCATGTTCACAAGGATGGGATGGATGTCTCCAAAATTTCTGGTTTGCCATTGCTAACAGGAACATTACTCAAAACTGTTACTTTGAGAGGCATATTTGTACTCTGCTGTGGAGCAATTACACTCCAACAAAGGAGGCTAAATACAGTCAGATGGTGCGACACAGCTAATATGATAGCTTCCTTCATTTTGTACTCTTCTGTTCTTTTCTGTCACTCAAAGGGAAACAATATAAAGATGGTTTGCTTTGGTCAACAGCGAGAATTCCTGGGTCACGATTCACCACATTTGATGTGAAAGATTATTACAGATTGGCTTATTGGTAATTCCAGTGTAATCAATTGATTATGCTCTGAAATTCTGCAGTGTAAAATACTTGTGACCGGGCCTTACTGTTACCACCAAAAAATTGCCTTAGGCATCGGCGGGCACATCAGCACTAGCAACTGCAGAACATCATGTCAATTACTAGGGATGGGTCACGATTTTCGAATTTCAAATAGTCGTTTTATTTTTGAAAAATCGATTTTTTAATGCGACTATTACTATTCGCCGTCTTATTCCCCCCTTTATTTGACATGCAATTCAGCTCCTAACCGCACGAGGGCAGTATAGGGTTGCTACAGTCGATAGTCAAGCGCACTTCCGTGTTGTAGTTTCCTGTAAAAATGTCCGTGCGATTATCCGAAAAATTGTTGAATAGTTGCCATGATTTTCGAATAGTGTTTTTGCTTGTGCTGCCCATCCTTATCAATTACAAGTAAGTAATCCGCCTTTTGAAAGAATTTTGGTGTTAACTACAGCTCTACCTCTCACCACCACCACCACCCAGAAGTGACAGTTCAAGCTTGCAATAATCCCTCAGTGTGTAGGTGACTGACCGAGGTGTTTAGCACAGAGCAAGCTCAAAAGGTAGTTGCTGGTCTGCTGCAACAAGACGTTGTTGTCTCCTTCATATGTGCAGTTTGGGTCATTGTCATTACGCAGATCACCCAGCCGGTTCACTGAAAGACAAAGAGGGTAGTTAGGTCTCTGAGTATGTGTGTGTGTGTGTGTGTGTGTGTGTGTGTGTGTGTGTTTGAGACTGACTGGCCAGGTATCCATGTCCACCACAGGCCTCCCTGCACTCCTGGATCCCCCTCTGAGCAGTCCATGAGCCCAGTGGTTTACTGGCGCAGCTTATGGCATGCAACTCTCTGCCCATCTCTGCCTGCAATACACACAAAACACACATATAAGATTATAGTTCATACGAAATGATAACTGGATATAGACACACATATGAACCTCATCTTAACTCACTTGTCTGTCACTCTTATCCCTCATCATCTGTCCAATCTGTAGCTCAACAAAGTTCATGAAGATGGTTTTGGAGAAATGTTCAAGAACGTATGCTGCTGCCAAGTACGGGATCAGACGCCATTGCTGAAACAACAGAAACAAAAATATCTAAAGAATGTGTGTAAACATTTACAGCCACTCTCAAAAACGAGAGAAGCACATAAATTAACTGTTGTGGTTTTAGAAACATTCTGTACCAGGTACAGAAGGTCTGTATTAGGTACATTTCAAATCCCTTCCCTCCGTCCTGACCTGTAACTGGTACTCTAAAACAGGAATCTCCTCTGTGTCTTTGGGTCCAAACTGTCTCCTGGTGGCTGAGAAGCGGATGGTGATAACCAGAGCCAGCTTCAGATTGATCTGAGACATCCTGGTGATGTTCAACCTGCCACCTGAGAGGGCACCCAGAGACTCTCCGAAACGCTTGTTGGGGTCCTGAAAGAAAGACACGATGGAGTGACATGAGAAACAACAGAATGAAAGACAGTAGAAATATTTACACAGCACACAGATGATTCACAGTGGAGTAGAGCCTTGACATGCAAACGTTCTCCTGATTTCATTGTAATCTTGTCAGACTTTAGTGTTAGAAAATAAAAAGGAAGCTGCAAAAAACCTGGGAAAAAAATCTGTCCACAAAGTCTAACATTGCCAATATTTTCTTACAAAATGCAAATCCTGTCCAGAACAGCTTCAACAATGCTTCAACAGCTTCTTCCAATCGTCTGATATACCAACAGTGTAAAACAGACTTTAGCAAATCACAATCAAGCATAAAAACATAATGGTATGGTTTAAAGAAGTTCTGCCACTTTCCTTATGCATGTAAACATCCTGATTAAGCCAGTGTGGTCAAACTGACCAGATAACAGTACAAACATATTCAATGGTTCAGTGAGAGCAAGAACAAACTTGCAAACAAAAACAATATTCCTCATATTTTCTACATCACTGATACTTTATAATATTATACTGATACTTAATATTATTAATAATAATAGGCCCTATGTGTCAGATACTTGTTCAGAAATTACTGGACCTGAACAATAAGTGGAATACTTAGTATGAATACACCCACAGGAAAATGTGTTTTTAGCAACAGCAAAAAGTGCTATTCAGCAAGTTGAACTGTATACAATATGACCACATATTAGGACAGAATAAGCTGCAGAAACAGTACAAATAATTTCCAAAATTATTAAAAGTAAGGCTACAAAGAAGTGAAGAAATATTCCAAATGTGCAGCATAGGTAACCGTAGTGATCTACCCTGATTAAAAGTGAGCCAGCTTGGTGATACAAACAAAGTTAAGCCCAGAGATAGCTGCCTGACCCACTTATCTAGCTTCATGGCTTCTAGCTTCCTAGACTGTCCTTGCTATTTACACCTCTCATGGGGTACCAGAGGAATTTTCCAGGCCTGCTTGTCATTACCAGCCATCTTCACCATGTCCATATGGATTTAGCTCCTGAAAGCTCATTAAATCACTGCAGCAGTGAAAAAAAGCCATAATGTGAGGATAGTGTTTGACTGCTAAAGAGTTAGAGGTTGCCTACTGCATTTGTTTATTCCTGTCTGTGCATGAATGCATTATAATGCATGCATTATATATATTTTTGAAGGCTTGTAATTGAAGGAGCATTTTTTATAGGATTTGCTATAAAAATATAGGGTCAGTTCACACAAATGACAGTAGTTTTAAGTGATGGTTTGGTTTTGCACATGTAGGTGTCCATCTCTGAGAGTTTCTGCCTTGGCTGAGGCAGGCAGCTGCAGCTCAGCTGGGAGAGACAGTTGTCTGTGAGCTTTAACTGTCCAATCTTGGCATATTTTAAGGGAACTCTGTCGGCTAAATATATGGCCGATCCTTTCTTTACTGTTCTATGTTTTGTTCACCTCAGTCGCCAAGTGCTTAAGCAGTGTGCATCCACTCAATCAGCGTTTCCCCTGGTTAAAACGACGAGTAGTGGCAGGTCATATCGCTAAATACCATTAATTCTGTGAGTAACATACACAATAAACTTGGCTTCTCCTCTCTGCAGGGCAAGCCAGTGTCTTATGTGGTCATTTATAAGGGAATAAAACCACTCTGTAACACTGGTGTACAATCACGATAGCAAAGCATTTCTGTAGTTCCAACATCTCTGTAGCTACTGCTAAAATAGTTTAAAGTCTTCTCTACTCTAATGGGTAACTTCTTTTTCATTTTAATAATTTTAATTTTAATCATTTAATCATTCATTTCAATCAATGTTGTTGGCCTGAAGAGATTCTTACATTTTCCAGTTGTAAAAATGTGTAGTCTATGGACAGGTAAATAAAATGTTAAAGGATTTAGTCAAATAAAATGTGTGTCATGCTTCTTCAGCTGGGCACCTTTCCTCTAAATTTTGCAAAATCTCAAAAACGGCAGCTAGTCTTGAGTCCCTCTTGCTAGGCCACCCATGGAATCCAAATTTAAAAATGGAAAAATCCTCAGAGGAAAACAGAGCATTTAATAGAGCATGGAAATATTTATTTGCTTTGACTGCAAACCTTAAGTACCAAATAATGATAAAGAATGTACTGCAGAGTAGCCAGCATATGGTAAAACATATTATGAATAGGGGTGGGGGAAATAATTGATTCTTAGATGCATCCCAATGTGGGTGATTTGACATCGATTCACAAATGTCATTGATTATCTCAATGTCTATTAATAATGTGATGTTGACTGGACGAAAGAGGCAAAACTCATTCGCGAAAGCAGTGCAGCACCCAGACAGTCTATAGCAGGTACGCTAGAGTTATTCATCTTTACAGAAGTCAGCAGTTTCAAGCTTGTTTTAATTTAATGTCTAAATAATTTAATAATTATATATTTTTCGTCAAAGATTAGTGTGTGCAACCGCAGATGGATACAGTCTGACTGGTTTAAAAGTAAAGGTATGGAAGTATTTTGGCTATAAGGTTGAATGGAAAAGGGACCTCTACAAGGACCAGATAGTACGCAAGTAAATTCATCTGTTTATCTAATTATGGATTACTATAAATACAGTATGCTATGTTTTAAAAAGTAACAAGTAGTCACATGGTGAAAAAATAAATGATGTATGGAAATCAATAATTCTTAAGCATCGTGATGCATCGCTCATCCTTTTATAATCGAATCATTGCCCTCTGAATTTGAATCAAATTGTGAGATGCCTGGGGATTCCCACCTCGGTGAATGAATGCTCATTCACACCTTTTAGTAATGTTGTGCTAAAGGTGTTAAACATTTTTTGTGACCAAATTTTTTATTGGTTTTTTCTTTTTGTTTTCATCATGGAGGAAACACTACAACTGAAAAATACAGTATTGACAATACATGCCATATCTACATCTGTACTTAAGGGTATCCACAAATACATTAAGCATATAGTGTATTTATGTAAATTAGATGAATAGCAATACAAAAATAAATTGGAGCAATACTCAAAATGTAAATATACCTTTACTTATCCTCCTATAATCCAAACAATAGTTTAACCCCTACTCTTTCTTCTGGTCTTAAACTGAATAAATTGTTCATAAAGATTCAATGTATAATCCAAGTGTACCCCCAATTTAAAAAAAAAAAAAAACATATACAACATACAACATTATTCACATGTGCATACACATACATGTATAAGGGATGACATATTCATATCATTTAGGCGTACACCATATAAGACCATAGATAGACATCTGTAATCTCTACACATACTAGTTATTGTGATTTCAATTTTTCCATTATTAGAAGAAGAGCTTCTGTTACTTCAGTTTTAATGTCCCTTATTCTACCTATTGCCACTTCTATGGAAAGATTACAATAAAATGATGACTGCCAGTAACGTATATTTAAATCTTGTGGACGTTTCCATCTCATTACTACTATTTCTTTTGCTGCATTTAATCCACAAAAAAGAGTCTTTCTTTGATGGCTTGATAGAGCAAGCGAAGAATCATCATTCAATAAAATAATATTTGGAAGGAAGGGTATAGTTAATTCCAATATATTTGATAAAGTTCTTGTTACTTGCATCCAGAAGGTGTTAACCACCGGACATTCCCATAGCATATGTATATATGTTCCAATTTTCCTTTGAGAGCATAATGGACATATTGGGCTTGAGGTCAGTTTAAGTTATCAAACAATTTTGCAAACCCTGGATTGTGTTCAGAAGACATTAGTGCCACAGCCACAATGGATTTAGAGGACAGGTCATGTTTTATTAATTTAAAATTTCATCAGTAAATGTCAGGGTTCAGCATCAGGCCGTTCGAATCAAAGAGCAAGCGCTTTATTCTACCAATTTACACATTCAACAAACAAACAGGGAGAGATCTGTGCAGAAAAGGAAGAAATGTCATTTTCTCAGTAGCGGGAGCTGCAATTGCTGTTTTCTCCAATATTGAATGCGGCAACACTGAGAGCATGACGGGGTGAAAATGTATTCAGCAGAAAGGAAGAAGTCATGAAATTAAGGTAAATTGGAGGAGACCATTGTCAGGCACTTTACCAAAAAGAAAACTCCAGCAGTTCAAAATAATCCAAAGACTGGTGATACACAACTTTGAAGTGGAGCCATTTTAACAATGTGACATGGATATTTTTTTCTTTAGTGAATGTGATGTGACACAAATCTCAGGGCTATACACTGTACTTATGCTGAGTGGTGCATGCCAGGCTGAGGGCAGCAGCTCCTTGGATTTACTGCCGGCTACACCTGCAGCATTGTTGTTCTCCACTCGGTTAATGTGAGAATAACATTAACTGCGAGAAAGAGAGAAAGAGAGCTCCTGTTTTAATGCGCTGGCTGTACAGGTTCATTAGAATACCACCTGAAGACATTGTGTTGTTTAGCCCTATATTCCTTATTGTTTTAAGTGAATGTGGGAAAGCCACAGGCGCACATACACAATTGATATCATTAAATTTTAACATGGGGAAAAATATACTTTGTCTTTACTGTGGAGACCGAGAAACTTAGAAGAAAGGGATGAAGACTTCTGGAAATGTTTGCAGTCTTAACACAAATTGGCCTGTGTTTTTGTTTATACGGAAATGCAAATGCAGCCAATGATGCCTTTTTTGTTTTTTTGTTGATGCAAGTCCTTTTTTATGCTTGTTTGGTTATTTAGTGGCTGCAAACAAATGCACCTACACCATGAAAGTTGGTGTGACACAGCTGTGGTTGTGTTTATGCAGATGACATGTCGCAGTGCAGNCCGCATTTAAGGGCAGCAAAGAAGACTTTCCCAAATTGATCTTATAACCAGAAATAGAACCAAATTCGTTCAATATATTTAAAACAATTGGAAGAGAAGTTGGTACCTGGTCAAGATATATTATCAAATCATCTGCATATAAAGATGTCTTGTGAATTGTCTTTTACTGTTATTCCCTCCAACTCTTGCGAATTTCGTATTTCGTTAAACATAACACAGAGTTGGTGATAATTGGCTGTGGGTTCATGACTATGAGTGACACCTTACACATTACTTATTTTATTTGTTGAGTAGTGCATCTTTAATTTGACTCTAATTGGTGCTTGAAATGCCTCCGTAGTGCTTTCTTTGGCCACCATTGGAAATCATACTTACCTTGAATGGTGTAACATAGTGGCCATCAGGAGTAACATCTCCAGTCTTATTCAGCAGATTCTCCCGAGGGATCCTCACATTATGAAACAAAGCAAACCTGAAGGGAGAAAGACACAATTGCCATCTTTGGTTAAACAGACACAGGCAACATGTGTGCAACACAAAGGCAGGGCATACTTTGAAACTATACTGATGTGGTGTGCCCGTTTCATAAAAGTACGCTGATACTTCTAATACCAAATCCTCACAAAACAAAACACTGACATGAAACACAACGCCTAATATCTAACTGAACTTTTGAAGATTAGCAAGGGAGAATGACAATAAGAAAATGTTCTTCTCTTCTTATAATCATTTTATCTTAGGGGCCATGACCTTGTACATTTTTGGTGACCTTAAAAGAGGACAGAATTTGATAGGACAGGGCTGGAAACTAACCTTTTTATTTTCAAAGTACCTCAAGCATAACAAAATGTATCGCCTATTATGTATTATTGTAAAAGCCAACACAAGCATCAACAGACAAAACTCTAAAAACCGTCACTGATTTTCTGTCATCTTTCAATTGCTAAATCCATTTCAGGCACAGCAAAGTAGAAGCTCAAACTGGTCTGACTTGCTCTGTACATGGATTTTGTGCCCACCGAGTATGGAATGCCTGTATGATCATCATATATTGGAGATAACTCCTTTATGATAATCAGTTTTTCTGCTTGTTTTAGTAACAGTCTGAAATGTTTCCTCCGTGTCTGACATCCCTCTGCTATAAACTATGATTATAGCCCCATCTAGTTGTTTTACTGAGGCACTGAAGTACAAACATAACTGCTTTACATGATCAGTGGATAATGTATGGTGTGTTTTTGAATTATAACATTAATATAAGACAGCACTTATCAAATTGGTTTGTAAAACATGAGTGTTCATTTAGAGGCTTGAACTGTTTCCATTTGAGCAAGACCATATCTGATAACATGAGACAATGTCAGCCAAATGACTGAGAGCGGAGGCATTCTGTATTCATGAATGAACTGAAGGTGCTTCATGCAAAAATAAAACATGCAAAATGCAGTGGAAAAGCATGTTAACAGTAAAATTAGCTGGAGCTAAAGAAATCAGCTACAGAAGTGTGTTTGAACCTAGAGCTGTAAGCTACAGTTAGTAATTTTTAACTTTAAACAACTAAATAACTTTTTGTCATAATTGCTAAACTGTCGCTACATCCATTAAGTGTTATACGTCTTCCTCTGCTGTCACCTACCCATTATCGAGTCCATTCTGGCCCAACTTCTTGCCCATGTCTCCAACCAGCACTCCAGGCAGAGCTAGCAGGGTCTTGGGATCTCTCACCTGCGGCGCAATGGGTCTAGATTTCATTTTGACGGCTTTAAAAGCAGCCTTGTTAACTTACAGAGCTTTCTTTAGGGCCAAGCTCTTTGACTTCACTTGAAGAAAACTATTTAAAGTCTTCTCACTCCCACTATTTTTACACTCCATAGATAACGTATGCATCAAGATGTTGGCTAACTCATCCTCTCTCTTACACTGTCTCATTTTAGATAACAGGAATAACTGCCTTTTATTTTTGCCTTCAGGAGAGCAATGAATTGTGTCATAAACCTACACTGTGTGTAAAAACGCAAATACTATCACTGACACTCCAACCGCTTTCACCATTACATGCCGCAAAGCCATGGACAGTTTATCTACTTTCAGATCTTAGACCAAGGGTCGGCAGCCTTTACTATTAATAAAACCATTATTAGCCAAAAATATTTAAAAAAAATCTGTCTGGAGCCGCAAAACATATTTGAATGAAGGCAGTAGCATATTACCTGTAAATTAGCCCATCAACATTACAAATATGTCTTAATAAGCATTGATTAATATAATCCACTACAAGGTGGCTACTCTGCAGTGGGCTAATTATAATTATTCAGTATCTTAACTTTGTAGTAAGCAAATGAATCTGTCCACAGATTATCCTCTATTTTACTCCAGGACTTGTCCTTTTTTGGATTTGGAATCCATATCTAGCCTAGTTGGGGAGACTCCAGGCTAGCCACTGCTACTGAAGTAAAGCAAAATTTAGAGGAAAAGGCACAAAACCATAGACGTATGACACACATTTTAGATGATGAAACATTAAAACATTTTTTAATTTGATGTATAGGCTGCAGATTTTTCAACTGAAGAATGCAATAATAACGTTATTCATTTTAATATAATTTTATGTCAGAGCCACAGAGCCACTGGAGAGGGTCTAAAGAGCTGCATACGGCTCTGGAGCCAAAGGTTGCCTGTACTTTTTAAATGAGACTTCACATGTTTTCAGTTGGTACATTTACATGGCATTAGAGAAAATTGATTTCTGAATAAAACCAGACTTTTAATATACATGTAATATGTTAGTCCGACTGAAATCGTACTAAATCGAATTTCTCACAGTTTGACTAACACGCAGATGATGCAATTGGGTGTCAAGTTACTCCTGCATGTATACAGTCAATGGGACCAAAACTGGCCGAGGCAATCTACTCTCCACAGTTTCCGCACCAGGCTTTGACCAGGAAGTTGAATAGCATTAAATGTGTAACAGAAGAAGAAGCCAGTAACAAAACTGGTGAAATCTACATCCAGAGCTGTACATTTTTGGACAGACGAGAAGACACAGTTCATGCTGTGTCGGGCAAAAGAATGAAATATTTCAAAATAATAATAATAATAATAATAATAATACATGGATGGGAGGAAAACACATTGGCAACCTGTTCAAAATAGTGGTGGAACAGCAGACCAGTGCTCCATTGTTTGGTCTATGGCGTAATAGGTCAACCTGAAAAGGTCCATTGACTCACGTCAATGACGCTGCCGTCATATGATGCCGCCAGTGTGTTTTGGCCTTAAGACATACTTAAGTCAATAAATTGATTGCCCTCCCATTCTTGTATACTGGGTCAAGGACAGTAGTCCAGTTGAATGGCCTCGAAGAGCTATAACTGTTGCTCCACTTAATTGTGCATGTAAACATACTGTGTGACTAAGTGACGTTCTGAGATTGCAGGCATATCAGATTTGTTTCTCAAATCAGTTCATTTGAACAGACTGTCCCCGCTGTTATCTGTAAGTGATCAGGTTAGATTGTGTGTTCCATCAGCTCCAACTAATCTGTATGGGTTGCTGTGGTAACGGCATAGGTGCAGTGGTGTAATGTAACAAAGTAATAATACTTGGTTACAGCACCTAGGTATTTTTGGGAGTGTCTGTACTTTACTTGAGTTTTTCACATTTCTGTCAATTTTCACTTTTATGCCACTGTTTTTTTTGTGCATGTAGTTTGCTAGTTGTGCACAAGGCTGGGGTAGTCACTTTGTGCTAATGTTTTCTTTGTTGTATAATGGCCTTGTGAAGCACTTTGTGCCTTGTGACTGAGTACCTTTGCCTGCTAAAAGCGCTACTTAAATAAATTTTTACTTAAACTTACTACATTTCCTAAATAAAATGCACTGTACTCCAGTACATTTTTTATCTATTGGAGTATAAGTATTTTACTCCAGTTTTACTCCAGTATCTATGTATTTCTATGTCTAAGCATTTTCATTAGCTGCTGTGTGACGTCACATCAGTTAACAGGCCCTGATAATGTAAGCAGCAGCAACATGGTCAATGGTCAAAGGTCAGTGTCTTACCGGCACAACGAAGGAATGCAGGCCGTGACATGCCTGGTCAGGCGTGTAGAGCTGAGCGAAAACTATGGCGTGCGTCGCCGTCTTACCCAGGTTGCCCACCCAGAACTTAGCAGCCTCAAAGTCTGGAGAGTTGATCACAAACTCCTGCAGAGCATAAAATTAAAGGTGGACTTTTCCTCATCGTCATGGAGTCACTTAGACCTGATGCAGGATTCTGCTGTGGGTACTTCAGTGCTGTCATATTGCCATTTGACATTCATACAGTGTGTGCTGACCTGAGTGGAGGGGTCATATGTTGCTGTAGTCCTCATGGCTCTGGTGTTGCTGCCATGGCTCAGCTCAGTCAGCGCAAAGCATCCATATGTCTACAAACAGATACATGCAGCTGCTATTTCACGGTTCATGGTGATGGGGATGTACAGTACAGGCCAAAAGTTTGGACACACCTTCTCATTCAATGCGTTTTCTTTATTTTCATGACTATTTACATTGTAGATTCTCACTGAAGGCATCAAAACTATGAATGAACACATGTGGAGTTATGTACTTAACAAAAAAAGGTGAAATAACTGAAAACATGTTTTATATTCTAGTTTCTTCAAAATAGCCACCCACCCACAGTCACCGGACCTGAACCCAATCGAGATGGTTTGGGGTGAGCTGGACCGCAGAGTGAAGGCAAAGGGGCCAACAAGTGCTAAACACCTCTGGGAACTCCTTCAAGACTGTTGGAAAACCATTTCAGGTGACTACCTCTTGAAGCTCATAGAGAGAATGCCAAGAGTGTGCAAAGCAGTAATCAGAGCAAAGGGTGGCTATTTTGAAGAAACTAGAATATAAAACCTGTTTTCAGTTATTTCACCTTTTTTTGTTAAGTACATAACTCCACATGTGTTCATTCATAGTTTTGATGCCTTCAGTGAGAATCTACAATGTAAATAGTCATGAAAATAAAGAAAACGCATTGAATGAGAAGGTGTGTCCAAACTTTTGGCCTGTACTGTATGTGTCATCACACCTTCGTGAGTTTAGATGTGGAAGCAAAAACTCTAATTTACAAATACTATATACCTAATTATATATCTATTTAATTTTGAAGTTTTAAAGAAAATAACTAAATATAGTGAATGTGAGAATCCAAAGAAGACTCTGTTGCTCACTGTGAACGTCACTCAGTACCTGCATCACATAGGGCAGGAGGTTGTGACATCATTGTAGACCCTCCCCATGGCCATTAATAAAGCACTGATACAACTTTAAGGTAGAGTTGTTGGCAGTGTGAGAAACTCTTACCGTCATGTTTTCAGTGTTTTCAACAAATTTACTGTGTCTCTGTGAACCTGTCCTGGCAACAGTCACTCCAAACATCTGAAACAAAAGATGTTTTAGCATCTATTACTGTAATGAAACAATGACTAAAATGGAAGAAAAGTCAGATAAAAAATGGAGGGACAACTTAACTATTCATAGATTTAAGAGTGTGCAGCCATACTATCAGCTTGGTGACACTGTACTTTAAGGGCTCATTTATACTCCCTTTACATTCGAAAATAGACACATCCGTTTCAAACACTGTTTCAAACGTCACCGCCCTCATACTGCCATGTGTCCTTAATCTTGACATAGATACAGCCAATAGATGGCACCTGAGGGCAGACTCAAAAGTTACACCCACCAACAAACAGGCTGACGGTATAGGAGGTCTTAATACTGTACCTTTAAACAGAGGCAGCATTGTAAATGGCAGTGGAGTGTGAGACCATTAAATACAACTCAACATGAGGATGGAGAATTCTTTTAACTATATTACCAATTTGTTCCATTCAGCCATTTTTTTTAATGTCTTTCTTGTGTCTCACTTGAACTACACTACACTGCCTCTATGATCTCCGGTGGTACTGCTCCATTTCGTCCGTATCCATAAGCTTTCATAAAACGTGCACAAATAGGCACAAAATTAATGTAGAGTATGGACAGAAGGCTACATCCATGTTTGTGTTTAACACTGAGCATAAATGAGACAAAAGTGGTATTTTGAGCGAATTGCTGGCAATTTTTCTTAGTTTAGCATGTTGCTAGGCTTTGCCGATTAGCGCTAAGTACAAAGTACAATTGAAATGCAATTGAAATTACAATTCAAATGCTATCCATTGAGAGGTGGAGACATTTTAAGTTTGTGATGTAAATGTTTTGCCTTTTATTTTATTTTCTATTGGCTTTGCTGACAAACAGCTAGCCATGTTACCATGTGGACACATGCCCACTGCCTCCATTGGTTTCTTGACCGCTTTACACTGCATGCCACTCAGATCAGGAGGGAGCTAACCTTAGCTAGCTAGCAGCTCTGCTAACTCAGTGATTATAGCTGTTAATGCTGTCCCAGTGATTAAACACATTGATATATTCTGTGCTTAACCACAGAACCCTTTAAGCATTGTTTAAAATGTTAGCACCACTAGCCGTGTTGTCACTGTCAACAGTGGTAACATAGTTAACAATGCTAAAGGGGTTTTTTTACGGCTCAAATTTGAGCCACTTAAGCCCCGATTTCACCAAGTAGACCAGCACATCTCAGTTCAGTTTGGTATGCATTTTTTTTTCACTGTGGATGGTTCCTAACTGTCCCCATTTTTGGTCACCCCTCTGTTGGGGTACCTAGCACACAGATCCAGTACTAAAAGGTGGAGCTAGACACACTGCAGTCCGTTGACTGGTCAATAGAGGACGGTTACTGTTGCTCTGCGCTGAGCTGTGGCTCGTTTTGAGGCTTTTGTAACCACTGCTTATACCATGGCAAGTCTTACATATATCAGTAAACTATGAATATAAAATGAAGTAATGTTTTCCTGCAGCAGCTGTAGAGTTAGAAAAAAATAACTTAATACACTGGGCCATCTGTAAAGCTACAGTATACTGCTAGCATGGCTAAAAGTGACTTGGTTAAGTAGCTGTAATGGTGATTTGGGTCATTTTCAATGTAAGATTATCAATGAACTTAACTTTTAACTTTTAACTTTTTGATATTCTCATTATGTTCAATATTTTTTTTTCACATTTTGCCACCAATGGACACTCACCCCTTTGTTGAGAAAGAACTTGCTAGCCAAACTCCAGTCATACATGCCCAGACAATCACTGAGAGTCACAGACTTCCAGGGGTCGGCCATCACCTCCTCTTCTGTCAGGAAGTTGTAGCGGAAGAGTTGCTTCACCCTGTGGATTTTCATCTGAAGATTTATTTTCCTCTATGTACATTATAAAAATATGGATTAGATATAACAGACAATGTTACTGGTGGTAAAAACCTAATAACTTCCTGTTGTGTTGATACCTGAGGAACGTCAGCTCTCTCATTTTTTCGATTGGGACATCTTCACCGGGCTGCCGTGCAAATAGAGGGTCATTCTCAAGTGTCTTCAACACATGTTGCTGCAGCACAGAAGAAGACAAAATGAACAGGACATGTAGAGCAACATTTAGATGATTAGACTAATTTTCCCTTTTCACCAAAAGTTCAAGTGCTAATAATTGATATAAATAATAAATGATCTGTATTACATCATGTATTTTTGTTACCTTTGCATCCTTATGTAGTTTGACTCCAAAGAAGAGGTAAGGGAAAAAAATCAATACAGCATAGTACCGTCATATTTTGCGTGGTGATAGTTTATCGATACACTGACTCCAAGTATCGATCTTTTATTATAAACATGATTCATTTTTTCAATCATACATTTCGATACAACTTTTGGTACTAGAATAATGGAATCAATGCCTTTTTCGGTTTGTTTCTTGGTGAGGTCAACAGAGGTCTCAGTCAGCAACATTTTGCAGGAAGTTCATCTAAACAAAAATGAAGGCACCACAGAAAAAATCAGAAATGCACTGTCGGCATTTAAATCAAACGTCTGGACTTATTTGGGATTTTTTAACATGGAAGGAAAGGAGGACTTGGGTATGACACGTGATTTCCAAGCAGTGTCATGAGAATAAAATACTCTAGGAATATTGCACATATGAGGGCTCACCTCACACTTCACCATGCAGAGATAGTGTTAGCTGTTGACAGCCAAGCTAATGCTAAACCCACTCCGCTGAAAAATTAACCAACACTGGACACACTTAGCTTCACAAAACTACCATCAAATTCTGACAGAGCTAAGAAAATAACACAGTCCATCACCTACTTCATGTGAAAAGATCTGCGTCCATTAGGTATTGCTGAAAACAAAGGATTTTGTTACATGCTAAAAACACTGGAACCCAAGTATGTGACTCCGTGCAAAATGCAGCACAAGAATGAGGGATTGTGGTTGTAACAGTCTACAACTTTGAACTAATTGAATATTCAAGGCCATGTGCTTGTCGCTGCCCTGCTGCACTGTCAATACAACAATGGGGCTTTGATATACTACAACCCAGATTCCAAAAAAGTTGGGACATTGTGTAAAATGAAAATAAAAACAGAATGCAATGATTCATATATCCTTTTTGACTTATATTCAAATGAATACAGTCCAAAGACAAGATATTCAATGTTCAAACTGATAATCTTTATTGTTTTTTGTAAAATATACACTTATTCTGAATTCAATGCCTGCAACATGTTCCAAAATAGTTGAGACAGGGGCAACAAAAGACTGGGGAAGTTGTTGAATGCTCAAAAAAAAAAAAAAAAAAACGTTGGACCATTCACAGGTTAACAGGTTAATTGGTAACAAATTATAGTATCATTAATAGGTATGAAAGACGCATCTTAAAAAGGCGCAGGTACGAGCAAGGATGGTCACTTTATGAAAAACAGTGGGGGCAAACTGTCCAACAGTTTGAGAACAACCTTTCTCAATGACCAATTGCAAAGAATTTAAGGATTTCACCATCAATAATCTATAATATCATCAAATGATTCTGAGAATCCAGAGAATTCTCTGCATTTAAAGAACAAGATTGAATACCAACCCTGAATGGCTGTGACCTTTGACCCCTCAGAGGGCACTATATTAAAAACTGACTTGATTGTATAAAGGACAGTACGACATGGACTCAGGAACACTTTGGAAAGTGCTGCAGACTCCTTTGGGCCCGACCTCATCTGACACAAAGTGAAAAAGTGTGCTGTGGTCTGATGAGTCCACATTTCAAATTGTTTTCGGAAATCATGGACGTTCACAACATTGTGACATGAGAGGATCATCCAGGACTATCCAGATTGTTACTAATGGGAAAGAATTTCACTTTCAAAACTTCAACAATTAATATCCTAGCGGTCCTATAACTGAGTGTAGTTAGAACAAAAGATGAAGTAACACAGTGGTAAACATGCCTCTGTCACAACTTTTTTGGAACATCTTGCAGACATCAAAGTCAGAATCAATGCATATTTATAAAAATAAATAATGTTTGAGCATTAAATATCTTGTCTTTGGACTGTATTCAATTAAACAGAAGTTAAAAAAGGATTTGCACATCATTGCATTCTGGGTTTAGTTACATTTTACACAGCGTCCCAACTTTTTTTGGAATTGGGGTTATATGTAAAACCAGTGGCAGGAGTGCATTGGTTACAGCGCATGCAAAGTAGCAGCAACCTCCCGGGTTTGATGCCAGTTTTGCTTGTTACATGTCATACCCCTCTCATACAGTACTCTTTCGTCCCCATATCTAGTCTGACTCTACACTGTCATCTTGCAGAAATGCTTAAAAGAGTGGCATTTACTACGTTTAACTATTCTACTTATTAAACATTTCCAAATTTAGTCCTGACTTCAGAGAACATTTGTTGGTGATAGCTACCTTGAATTCCAGAATTTCCTCTCTTTCTAAGAAGTAGAGCATGTCCTTCCAGTTGAAAGAGGCTTTTTTCCTGTAGATATCCAGCGGGCCACTGGGAAAGTCAGCCAATCCATGATCCATCTTCTCTTGTTCAGACTGAAGGGGTTCAACGTGCAGAGATATAAGGCACTTTGCTCTCTGTGGAAACAAACATAATAAGAAGGAATAAAAGGAAATATCACAAATTTATATTAGGGATGTCCCGATCTGAGTATCGGCACCGATCACGTTATTTTTACAAAATCAGAATCAGTAATAAAAGATCAGAAGAATCAAAACAACAAAAATGGCCAGGTTTTACAAACCTTATGGGACAACTTCGATGCATTCTTTTTTTTTTCTTTCTTAATGCTTTGCAAAGTATCGGATCGGACTCGATATCAGACTCGGTTTCAAAATATAGGACTCGGTATCAGATGCAAAAAAAATGTGATCGGGACATCCCTAATTTATATGCAACACTTTTGTTTTTGCTTCCATTTTTCACAGGTCTAAGTTAAAAATCTGGGGCTGTTTTTTTTATGCACACAAAAAACTTCACAGATTTCTTAAAATCCGTGTTAGTGAGCACTTCTCCTTTTGCAAGATAATCCATATTACCTGAGCTTTGCAAGACTGTCACTCAGTGTAACTCTTCCAATTCATGCATCGACCCTGTACCTACAGCATTTTTTAGTGAGTGTTCAACAGTGTTTCAAGTCAAGTCCTGAAGATTATAAATACATGACTTAAAATAGGTGGCAAGAGGGATCCTGGTTCTGACCCCAGGGTGGAAAAGATAATTGTTTCAAACTACAACGGATTGAGGCCTATTTGATACTTTTCTACTCATATTATAGTTTTGTGGCCTGTGCTGCAAAACTTTAAACCTCTGAAGCTCCAGTGCTATGTGTAAAAAGTTAACAAAGTTCGTTAAATATCCCTGCTATTTATTTTATATAATTTTTCATTTACATGTTGAACAGCTGTATATTTTGAAACAGAAAAAATCCCTATCTTTGCATTTTGATTATAGTCTACTGAACATGTGGCCCATTTCATAGAAAATACTGTAATATGTATGTGTATCACCATCCAGCCTGAAAATACCTAGATATGATTTTTTATTCATATCGCCCAGCCCTAATTGGAATATGTGAAAATATGTGAACACACTAATTCGACAGCATTAACAATTATTGTTATAGTTTGACATAATACACCCACCCACCACTTTATTAGGTACACCTGTTCAACAGCTCGTTAAAGCAAATAGCTTATCAGCCACTCATGCAGCAGCAACTCAATGCATTTGGGCACGTAGACATGGTTGAGACGACCTACTGAAGTTCAAACCAAGCATCAGAATGGGAAGGAAAGGTGATTTAAGTGACTTTAAACATGGCATTGTTGTTGGTGCCAGACGGACTGGTCTGAGTATTTGAGAAACTGCTGATCTACTGGGATTTTCACACACAACCATCTCTAGGGTTTACAGGGGATGGTCCGAAAAAGAGAAAATATCCAGTGAGCGGCAGTTCTCTGGGTGAAAATGCCTTGTTGATGCCAGAGGTCAGAGGAGAATGGCCAGACTGGTTCAAGATGAAAAAGACAAAAGACAACAGTAACTCAAATAACCACTTGTTACAACCAATGTCTGCAGAAGACCATCTCTGAACAAACAAAGTGTCGAACCTTTAAGCAGATGGCTCCAGCAGCAGAAGACCACACCACGTGCCACTCCTGTCAGCTAACAACAGGAAGCTGAGGCTACAATTCACACAGGCTCACGAAAATTGGATGATAGAATTTTGGAAAACGTTGCCTGGTCTGATGAGTCTGGATTTCTGCTGCAACATTCAGATGGTGGGGTCAGAATTTTGCGTAAACAACATGAAAGCATGGATCCATCCTGCCTTGTATCAACAGTTCAGGGTGCTGGTGGTGGTGCAATGGTGTGGGGGATATTTTTCTTGGCACACTTGGGATCCCTCAGTACCAACTGAGCTCTGTTTAAACACCACAGCCTACCTGAGTATTGTTGCTGACCGTGTCCTTTATGACCACGGTGTAACCTTCTTCTGATAGCTACTTCCACCAGTATAACGCATCATGTCACAAAGCTCAAATCATCTCAGACTGGTTTCTTGAACATGACAATGAGTTCACTGTGCTCCAATGGCCTCCACAGTCACCACATCTTAATCCAATAGAGCACCTTTGGGATGTAGTGGAACGGGAGATTTGCATCATGGATGTGCAGCCAACAAATCTGCAGCAACTGCATGATGCTATCATGTCAATATGGACGAAAATCTCTGAGGAATGTTTCCAGCACCTTGTTGATTCTATGCCACCAAGAATTAAGGCAGCTCTGTTGGCAAAATGGGTCCAACCCGGTTGTAGCAAGGTGTAATAAAGTAGTGGATAAGTGTATATGAGTTCTTTCACTGGTTTATATTTCTTCCACTGAAAACTTGAAAGCATGGCATCCACCCAAGTGGACATATGAAAAACTCCTTAAAAGTTGCATGATTAAAAAAAATGAAATTTTTAAACATGCTTAAAGAGGAATATGAACACTTAGCTGAGGTAAAGGTAAAGGTAAAGTTCCACTGATTGTCACACACCTGAATGTGTGAAATTTGTTCTCCGCATTTGACCCATCCCCTGAGGGAGCGGTGAGCAGCAGCGGTGCCGCGCTCGGCAATCATGTGGTGATCTAACCCCCCAATTCCAACCCATTCATGCATCAAATGGTTAAGGCCTTTATTATGTTAACTGATATGTGCATATATGGTAAATATACCTACATGAATCTGTGTTAAGTCAAATTATTTCACAGGAATCCTGGGGCATGGAATGTTCCAGGTAGAGACTGTATCTAACACTGAGTTGTAATGTACTATAGATAGCTTTAGTTTTATGTGCGCACATTTTATAATAGTTGACATTTAACTGCCTGACATTATCAAACTCTTCAGCAAAGTTACCTTAAGTCCTGGTTATCTATCTAAACTTATACAACTGTTATCTTTACTGAGCAGAGTTCAAGGTTAAAGCCCTCTCTGGAACATCAAGGTAGGTATGCTACAGACTTCAGTACATGCACAAACAGCTAGGGTGACCATATTTTGATTTCCAAAAAAGAGGACACTCGGCCAGCCACGACATAGCCTACTTAAATGATACTCGCAGTTTACTCAAAGATGCCTTATAATTTTAATATATTTAAAATTTATATGTATGGATAGAAAATTCAGTTATATTACAAAATAATATCTCTCAAAGACAGAAATTCAGATAGGCCCCAATAGGGGACACATACACACAGTGTAAAAATAAATAAAATCCTATTGTCTGTCCTGTTTATTGCTTGGGCACTGTTATTTATGTGACAACACCTGAACACAACACACACAGACACACATTGGCTGTTTGTTTCTACCTCTCTCCTCGCTGGAAGTCTCGGACCTCCAGCCGCCCGCCTCCGCCTTGATCAGACGCTGAAAATAAAATAAAAGAGGGAGACAGGTGTCTCCTATTTATCTTATTTTGTTTTATTTCTCCCTCTCCTCTGGCTAGAAGCGTCGGACCTCCCGCCTCCCGCTCCCGTCTCAAACACGGAGGTCTCCCTCTCCGCAGCTGAGCACCCACGGCGCACGCCCGGTGTTATGTCCCTACTGGTTTCCAATTTAACTGGTTTCCTTACCGAACAGTTGCAGATGTGCTGCGCCTCCGTCAGCAGATTTGTCACAAATTCACAAACATACACAACATATTACTGGCGATCTTAAAGTCGCAGCCCACATCTACCACAGCGAATATGCTTCTGTAAGTGAGCACTACGTACCAGCGACATTAAAAAAAAGAAAGGAAAGAAAATATGATATGCACAAATTTGCGTCAAGCTGGACTCGATTTCACGTCAACAAAAGACAATATAACACAAACCGCATGTCTACCTATGTGAGCCACTGAGACTCACAGAGCGCACAGCTTTCCTCAGGTATTAGTAAATTACGTCAGCATCCAGGTAACATTTTGATTTGGGCTGACCTGAGACAACTGGTTACCCTCGGCTTGCCTTGAAAATACCCACACATATTTATCAATGTTTCTTGTTCTTTTTCTACAAACATATTCAGTGCCACATTACAGTCTGCACAACACTGCACACTATGACAAAGCCTGTCATGTTTAAAAAGTGACGATCTAACTCGCTCACTGCGTACCTGCAGAGACAGAGATAACAGCATGACGTCACCTCCCTCGGACCATGGCGACATTTCTTTTAGTGTGCGTCCATAATTGTGAGTTTGTTCTTAGAGCTCATATGTCTCCATCAGAGCTAGCTGCCAGGTTATCATAGAGTGTAATACTATTATTATTGTGTCATGGTAGTTAACGCATATACAATTCCGTTTGCTTTTTTAAAATTTCGGCCGACTTTTTTGTTTTTTTACTCGGTCACGGAAGTCATTTAAAATGCAGCGAAGCATAATACTTAAATTAAAACATAAGCTACTGATGTAACACTCAAATTAGATTTTAAAAAGTGCAAGTACACAAAAAACTACTCAATTACAGTGACGTGAGTAAATGTAAGTCCTTGCTTCACCTCTGTAATGATCCAGTGGCTATAAGTGCTTGGTTTTTATTTACATATTATTAAGCGTATATTGAGAGCATTTTCCGAGTTAGATCGTCACTTTTTAAACATGACAGGCTTTGTCATAGTGTGCAGTGTTGTACAGACTGTAATGTGGCACTGAATATGTTTGTAGACTCGTGGAAAAAGAACAAGAAACATTGATAAATATGTGTGGGTATTTTCAAGGCAAGCCGAGGGTAACCAGTTGTCTCAGGTCAGCCCAAATCAAAATGTTACCTGGATGCTGACGTAATTTACTAATACCTGAGGAAAGCTGTGCACTCTGTGAGTCTCAGTGGCTCACACAGGTAGACGTGCGATTTGTGTTATATTGTCTTTTGCTGACGTGAAATCGAGTCCAGCTTGATGCAAATTTGTGTATATCATATTTTCTTTCCTTTCTTTTTTTAATGTCGCTGGTACGTAGTGCTCACTTACAGAAGCATATTCGCTGTGGTAGATGTGGGCTGCGACTTTAAGATCGCCAGTAATATGTTGTGTATGTTTGTGAATTTGTGACAAATCTGCTGACGGAGGCGCAGCACATCTGCAGCTGTTCGGTAAGGAAACCAGTTAAATTGGAAACCAGTAGGGACATAACACCGGCCTGTTAAATAGCCTGTAACCGCTGTGTGACACAAACTCAGTGCTTTGGTCATTAAATAATGTCGGGCTCGGATCGGGTTCGGACAGAAATATGCTGCCCGTGCCGCACTCTAACACACACACACACAAACACACGGAAAACCGGACATTACCATCAGTTTATAAACCCCCCCCCCCGGATGCCCTGGACGCCCCGGACGGGACGTGAAAAGTGGACATGTCCGGGCAAAAGAGGACGTTTGGTCAGCCTACAGACAGCAGTATGTTACACAGGAAGATGGCCAGATCCAAGTGGCTGTATTAAACTTTGCTTTGTCCCACTGTCACCGACTGTCAGTCACACACCGAGGGGCTAAATGTTCAGTGTTAACCTTCCCTCGGAAGAGTCTTTTCTTTCACTATTAACGTTACTTTGTTGATTTGACTGTACTCAAAGCACTACGGTTTCTATTTAACAGCAGCACTATTTGTAACAGTTAAAATGCAGTAACTGTGCCATGTTTTACCTTATATCTCTATGACAACTGTCCTCGTTAATGTCGCTGTCTCTCCTCTTCGACAAATGTCAGACTGACCTGTACAGCTGAGTTTCTGTACAGTCATCTGCCAGAGATAACACTGGATTACAAACTCCAGCAGGTCGGTTCTTTTCTTCCGCGACTGTCAACAATATAGTTTCCTGTCTGGACCCTTCAAAGTAAGAGCACCATATTTACAAGTTAATTGATTGCAAAGCCTAAGGGCTAAACTCTAGAGTAACAAATGATGACTGCTATATGATTTTCATTATATCAACTAATAATACGTGCTATAATGTAACAGGCATGAAAATGAATACAAAACTACCGTGCCGTACGTTAAAAAAAATGTATCTGCTTTTATTCTGAAGGTATGAGCTGATAGCGCTTCCCTGTCAGCAGTATTGAAGGGGAACACCACGTAAATTAATAACTGCAATGTTATTTCCATCATTTCCATGGCCAAATAAAGTTCAATCATTATTTGTGAACATAAGCCACTCTCTGTCAAAGCCAGAGTCGACTGAAGTCGCAAAGTTGTGATGTCATAGGGTGTAAAGTCTGGAACTGCTTCATAGACCAGTGGTTCCCAACTGGTGGGTCCAAAAGTAGGTCGCGGGTCCATTCTGAATGGACCACAAGTGACTCACAAATGTAAGTTTGTCCAAAAAACCCACTTAATTTTTATCTACAATGAATTTCCACCACAGTTTTTATTTCGAAAAGCTGTTTCTTGAGTGTATAACGGATAGCTGTTTGACAGAGACAACAAACTATCTCCACCACGTGGTCAAATATAAGTATGACGATAGATATATTAAACTGTGTGGACCTTGAACCAGAGATATTGGATGAAGGGAGATACCCAACTGTAGGCTTATCCAATGTTAAGAAAACCATAGACATATATATGTATATATGTATGTCTATGAAGAAAACGGTTACTCTTCCTGTCTCCTAAGTGGGCGTGGTTAGCTCTCCCTCCAATCAGAGCCTGTTCTCCCTCAACCCCCCCCCCCCCTGTGGATGTCTGTGTATGCGGATCGAGAAGCAGGTGGAATGAAAATACATTCTTCCTATTATTGCAGCCTATTGCTGCACAAAGCTTGGGCATTTTTTATTTATTACTAGCGGTAAATAACTGTTTGTAAACTAACTGTGATTTTACCGCCTGTTTATCAAGATCACGAGATCTCGCGAGAACTTGTTTTCTGAGACGGACAGGGCTCAAACAAAGTTAACTTTCTCTTGATCTGTGCGGAATAAAAAATGCAGCTTTAGTGTCAGAATGTTGGTAAGATGTGTGGCTTGTGGAAAATGAACCCAATATTTACTTTAGTGACTACTGGGCGAAAGAATTGACCATAAATTGTGATCACGTTCATTTTCCTCATTGACGACAATGCATTCAGAGCTGCCGCAAGTCTCCTACGGGGGCGTGGCGCTGACGTCACTGAATCAGGAAGTGAACTGAGTTTGGTATCTCGCTTCATCCAGTATCTCTGCTTGAACTAATGACTGAAGAGAATTCAGAACCACTGACATAGACAATGAATCGGAAACTGATTTTGTGGGCGCACAGAATGTATGTTTTCTTTTTTATATCCAAATGAGCTTTATTCTATTTTAGTGTTCTCAGTTGTGAAACAGAAAATGTACCCATATACTTAGAACATACTCCTGGGTGTTCTCACTGTCATCTAGAGCATCAGCAGTGGGCGGCAGTGGGCCCTCCAACAATGTGTTGGGCACAGAATAGTACCTTAACGTTGATTGCCACCTTGAAAATATGCCTGTGTTCAAAGAGGAACTCTTAATTAAGAACAATTGAGAACATTGCCGCAATATATACCCTCCAAAGGCAAACTCAACTCTGGTATGTTTTTTGTTGTTGTTGTTGTTTTTGTTTTTTTCTTTTTTTAAAATAGTCAGTTGCATCTATAGTAAAATTATGTGCTTATCCTGCATATACTATAAATATCAATTAAAATTATTAAATTAAATGTATAATTTTTTGTCATATACAGATATGGAGTTATGATTGCCAGGTAATATGTATGTTGATATTGTCCAGTGTACAGTCATGTGACGAGATAATGTGTGACACTATAGCGTGTACTAGGGCCCGTCACTATAACGTGCATTGGGGCCTATTGTAACTATCTTGCACCACTGTCATAATACAAATTTTAATATCAGTGCAATGCTAAAAACCAGGCATCATGAGTTGCATGAATGTTAATAGGTATTGAAGTATATGAGTGTAGAAGTCCTGAGACAGTGCAGCATGTGTTTCTAAAGTGGAGCAAATATGAGGAATACTTTTTTGCAAGAGACAGTCAGAGTAAGGGGTATTGTGTTTTTCTGTTTAATCTATCCCTGGCCAAAATTAGAACCACCACCCGATTACAAAAGCAGTTACTCAGTTCCAGGAAGGTCTATATTAGAACTGAAGGAATATGAAGTTGACATCAGGCTGTGTAATTTTTTTGGAGAAGGGCACCATCATGCTGCTGCTTTGCAGTGTTAATTTTGATTAGGAAAACTTTGACGAAAATTTTTCGTCGACAACCTTCTGTCCATGACAAAAATAAGACGATAACGAGCTAAAATAGATCTTAATAATAAAAACTAAGGACTGAGACCATTAATCTTGTAAGTGTACTCTCCCTTAACGTTTTATTTACTTCCTGGATTTTTTCCACGTGGAAATTCTGACCAATCAAGAGCAGCTTTCTTGCATTTTGTCTGGTCTGCTTGGAAATACACAAACCAACTCTAGGTAATTATGCAACTTTGTAACTTTGGTCCCTGATTCTGGCCAAAGCAAGCAAACCTGGCTACAATCTTGTATATTTACACTTGTGTGTTCATCAATATGTACTGTCCCTGTTTAAAAAAAAATAAAGTCAAAGTCAACTCTAGGTTATAAAGCACCCTAAGACAAAGCCTATGTTTCACTTTTGTTAACGAAACAAGACGTGACGCAAGTGTTAATAGAGGACTATCGGACACTGCTTGCAATTATCTTGAAATGCGACATGAGCAACAGGCTGGTAAACTCCAGCAAACAGTCAGTGCCAGGATGTTTCGCTAGCCAGCTAACACACTCACATCAGAACAGCTACAGCCATTGGTGTGAGTTGTGAGCTGTAATTCAGCAGTAAATAATTATAAGCCATGTGTGTCTGACTGTGGATGGTGGAGCTGCTGAATGTATTTGTGGAGTTTGTTAGTAGCAGCAGTGGCTGTTAGCAATTAGCTTACTAGCTCATAAACAGGCTTAGCATTAAGTTCTACCAGAGACTTTCTTGCAGCTTTGTGGGTTACTGGGAGTGTGGCTGTCTAGCAGGTGCTTTTTACTCCTGCTGGTTTACAGTGAATAAATACCCCTCACCTGTAACTGCACAAAGGGTTGAGTGTATCTTGTCAGTTAGATAGGCATATTAGTTTAGGGAGGAGAGACTCCAGTGTGTTGGCCCGGAATCTGCTTAGGGTTGGCATTCCAGGAAAGAACGACTTTTTGCTTCAATGGCAACAGATGTCTATCAAGCTATTTAAAATACTCTCTATGTGGCATTCTTGCTTGTAGTTAGGGTTGATGTCTTGAAAATTAAAGCTATAGCCTCAGGCAACTGAGGGAACTCTGGGACCCCACAGTGGTAAATACCAATTGAAAGTGCCCTGTGTAGCAGAGTCCTGCAACAGGTAGGGTACCCTCCTTTTGAGATTTGATGGTGGTGGGTGCAAGGAGCATGCCAAAATGTTTCCTAACCTGGCAGTAACTACGCAAAATGTTTTCGTCATCCTGGTATAGAACACAGCCAGTCAGTGAGACTTTTCCACCTCTAGATTTGTAATTCAAGAATGGAGAACCCAGCTTAGTGTGAATGACTGTAGCCTGTGTGAGTTTAATCGTAGGTGCAGGTCAGGTCACAGGACTTTTATTAACGGGTTTTGACATAATGATGGGTAACCAGTTGGTTCTGGTACTGAGTTTTTAAAAATGGATCCGTACAGGACTCTGCTGTGTAGTATTCTTGTAATCACACAAAAGTAATGTTCACATTCAGTGCTACTAATCAAAACACGTTGGGTGTATTCTTGATGTTTTGAATGCATTTTGTTCTTCATAAAATGTTAGCAAAGCAGATTTTTTGAGTATTCTACTGTAATATACTAGCCAGCAGGAAACATGGATAAGTGTGAAAGTGTTGGCAGAAATTTCTATCGCATTACTGCACATACATGAGTGAAACAAAATGAGAAAAACATGTGGACAAACTTAGAGTCCACTCCTTGAAGTTTCTCCTGCTCATGCTGATGAAGATGTCCAGCTGCCATGCCATTATCCAACAGACATGAAATAGTTGAATGAATAAATGATTTTAATCAAGTGTAACAAACCAAAAGATGCCCAATGGGCTTACAAGACACTTCTAATATGGAAGTAAAACAAAGTACAAATATAGGCCATACTCAATCTTGGTCAGCAGATTGTTGTTGGAATGAACAGAGCATCTCCATGTCAAATCACAAAAAGGTTCCTTTCACCTCTTCATGAAAATAAATTCAGCTTTGTATTTATTATTGCCAGGTCTATGCTGCACTCTGCTGGACAACACCAAACTATAATACACCGCTATGGTGTGTTTTCTGTGTAGTAATTTGACTTAAATGTGGTATGGAAAATTAATGTCATAAAGAAAAACAGTTAATTCCATTATTAAAGACAAAAATTAATTGTCATTTACATGTTTTTTATTTAATTATGACACAGTACATGCATACATGAAAAGCAAATACTAACAATGAATTTGTATTCACTTTATACATTTGATTTGCTCCCATGTTGACATTTTAAATCTTCTATGGATGATAGTTATTGCTCAAATGTTAAATATGTAATATTTAAAAACATACACATTCATGCCTACAGGCTATTCAGGGTCTCCAGTTCACCTAACCTGCATGCTTTGGTGGAAGAAGTACTTTTACATTAGTAGAGGTAATACCACAGTGTAGAAATGCTTTGTTACAAGTCCTGCATTGAACTTTTTGAAGACCCACAGAGATATTACCATTAAAATATACGTAAGTGCTAAAGTAAAAGTACTTCATGCAGAATAA